TACATGTGTCCCAATATTTAGCTGTTTCTATTTTTGGAACAGAAGATCTCTATCGGGCCAGTAAAATCATGATTGAGTAATGACTGAGTTATTCTTCATTTAATATTGCAGTGAAATTTATCTTATAACATTATGTTTCCCTTCCAAGTTTCTATATGATAACTCTTTTTAAAATAAAGTATCCTCAAATATCACAAATGTGAAAATGTAAAGCACAAATCAAAACAATGCCCTTGCTTCTTTTTTTTTTATGAATGTTATGGAAAAACTCAGACAATTTTACCATAGAATACAAAATCTTCAAGGTTTATCAAGACAAGAAATAAGACCAATATACTGATTTCTCAAATGTCATGATCCCCCATAGATTTTGACTAAGACCAATGGCAAAGATGATCTATTTGGCTTTCATACTTGAGGCATATTACAGTACAATGCCCTGCAAGCAAGTTCTGTGCAAGGAGACTCAAGTAAACTGCAACTTTTATCTTTATTATAACGAAAGCCAGTGCTTAGATAACAAAAAGAGGAAGTCTAGTTAGACAGAAGAGAACAGAACATTTATTACAGCATTATGATTTCATTCCATACTTCTTCGAAAGGTGGAATTACATCATTTCCAATCCATGGAAATAATGGCTGACTGGTGTGAAGTGGAATGGGCCATAAGCACCTTGAAGCACACTTCTGTTACTCTATGCAATTTAACTTCACAACAAACCTGTGAGGTCAGGCAAAAATAAATAAAGAAAAGGAAGAAAAGGCCACACAGCAAGTTTTGTGACTATGTGAGATTTGAACGTAAATCTCATCAGACTTCTTGCTACCCCACAATATTGTCCCTCTTTGACAAAGGTCGCAGAGCTAATGGGATATCGGTGAAGTATAGCTCTCTGCAGTCCTAGCAATTACATTCAAAGGCAAAAAAAATACTGGATATTGTTGTCCAGCAGTATCTCTAGAACTGCAAATTCCCCAGTAGAGCCCTATGGTGGTGATTCTTTCTTTTTACCACGTATGTGCTCCAGAATGATTGGATTGATGTAGGAGTGGGATATGAGCTGTGGGAGGAGAGGGATGTATTAGGATGAGCACATTTAAAATTTATTTCACAGAATCACATATAGGTAAAGGTAAAGGTTCCCCTCACACATATGTGCTAGTCATTCCCGACTCTAGGGGATGGTGCTCATCTCCATTTCAAAGATGAAGAGCCAGCGCTGTCCGAAGACAACTTCGTGGTCATGTGACTGGCATGATTAAATGCCAAAGGTGCATGGAACGCTGTTTCCTTCCCACCAAAGATGGTCCCTATTTTTCTACTTGCATTTTTTATGTGCTTTTGAACTACTAGGTTGGCAGAAGCTGGGACAAGTAATGGGAGCTCACCCTGTTACGTGGCACTAGGGATTCGGACTGCTGAACTGCCGACCTTTTGATCGACAAGCTCAGCGTCTTAGCTACTGAGCCACCACATCCCTTCTGGAATCACATATAGACATGCCTTAAAGGGCAAACACTATAATACATAAACACTTGAAAAAACAGTGAGCTATTTCACCATCTACTTTAGAAAAAACCACTTTCAAAAGTTGTAATCTTGAGCACAGGAATGGCACAGAAAGTAGGGCACTTAATAACCCTAGGTTTCTTCTTGAAATCAACAACATTTTAGCTACAGTACTTAAAACAAACATTTGAACTTGAAAAAGGCCATGGATGTTTCAAAAAGAGAAATGGCAGACAAGAGACGGGCTGTATGTTGCTGTATCTAAAACAATTTTTCTTTTAAAAAAACAAATAAATGGTGATAGAAATGTAGTACTCCATTTGTTCATGTGAAGGATATGCTCAAACAGCAAATACACACATACTTCTCAACTATAGCCTGACCTATGCATTATGAAGCTACTCCTATATAAGTCAATGGAACATATAATTATCATGTCTCATAAGGCCTCAGTACATGGATTTAAAATAAAAAAATAAAACCATACCAGTGTTCCATTCCCAGTACCAATTCACCAGTAAACTGTTACCAGAAAAAGAGGTGTGTACCAACTATTTGTTATAGAGTTATGTTGCAAGTTCAACTTTTTTACATTGTTATTTTAAAAAAACTTAATAAATTCCTTTCTCTGACAGAAAAAAAAGTATATAGTTTATACAAGAACATAGAGGTTGTGTGGTCTAATGGCTAAGGCACCACGCTAGAAAGCAAGAGACGGTGAGTTTCTGGTCTTAGGCATGAAAGCCAGCTGGGTGACTTTGGGTCAGTCGTTCTCTCTCTGCTCAACTCACCTCACGGGATTGTTGCGCTGGGGAAAATAGGAAGAGGAAGCGTACTGAGTATGTTTGCCGCCTTGAGTTATTTGTAAAAATAATAAAGGTGGGATACAAATCAATAAAATAAATAAAAATATCTAACATATAATATTTATTTATTTATTTTCATATTTGTATACCGCCCTACTCCCGAAGGACTCATATGACCATATAAGAGAACCTCTCTCATTCTTAGATAGCTACCAATGTTTCCCTGTAATAACTAAGCAAAATACTTCGCTCTTAGATTTTTAAATTGATTACTATTACAATTTGCAACACCTGTGGCTTTATTCATCACTTTTTTTAAAAAAGCATCTCTATTTACATTTCGTATGTTTCGTTTTTTACCCAACAGTGAATTTAAATTCTGAAATGAACAGCAGGTACAGCATTCTATAGATCAAAAGGTAATTGATCTTGGAGGTCATACAAACCAACCCCTGCTTCAGAGCAGGATCCGCTAGAGCATCTCTGAAGATGACCATCTAGCCAATCTTGAAGATCCCAGTAAGGGAGAACTCACCACTTCATGTAACAGCCTGGTCTACTGGCTGATTGCTTGTAGTTATGAATATCCTCCTGATGACTAGAATAAACCAACTCCTTTGTACAGGTAGCCCTCAAATTAGGATTACAATTGAGCCCCAAATTTCTATTGTTAAGTGAGACATTTGTTAAGTGAGTTTTGCCCCATTAGATGACCTTTCTTTCCTCAGTTGTTAAGTGAATCACTGCAGTTGATAAATTAGTAACCTGGTCATTAAATGAATCTGGCTTCCCCATGGACTTCACTTCTCAGAAGGTCACAAAAGGTGATCACATGACCTTGGGACTCTGCAACCATCATAAATATGAACCAGTTGTCAAACATCTGAATTTTGATCACATGATCTTGGGGATGCTGCAAAGGCCATAACTGTGAAAAATGGTCCTAAGTCACTTTTTTCAAAGTCCCTTTCTAAGTTTGAACTGTCACTAAACGAACTGTTGTAAGTCAAGGACTACCTGTAGTTTTAACATAACTGTTCTAATTTTGCACCTTGGGCAATAGAAAAATAAAATCCACTCCTATGTTACAATCTCTCAGATACTTAACACTACTATCTCTTCTATAGGCTAAATATACACAGAACCTTTTAACATCATAAGAATGTCAGAGAAAATATCCGCAACTTAAAGTCCTTTTAACAAGAACAACAAGAAAAGATTTCAGGTGTGAATAACTTCAGAACCTGAGGGTGCATATAATGACAAAGGAGAGCTGTCTTCATATAGCAATTGAAACTGGGGGTGGGGGTGGTTATCAATTCCCTATGTAGCCAAATAATAACTCACGAAATGCACACACATGCATTCACTATCATCTAAATTTGACAGATATTATAATATACCTTCTATCCCTCTTTTTTTCAAAAAACGCAAAGCAACACAGGGAGCAAGCTTTGAAATTTTATCGATGCTATGTAACACACTCATTGTTGATATAGTAAGTTAGAAGCTACCAACGGTACTTCACTGCTGACAGTTGCAGATTATATTCAGCTCAGCTAAGACTAGGGAACAGCAGCTGTGGACTAAAGAGCACATAGCAATGGAGAAGAGAGAATTACATCACAGAATTGTTCTTTTCACCATACCTAGCGTTTTGCCTTTATCAATGTCACTAACACGCCATCTCTGTCTGAGAAAATGCACTAGGCAGAAGAAGATGAATTTGATGTCATTCCTAGAAATTAGGAGCAAACCTAAGACATTGTTAAAAAGGTGCCTCTCTGGAAATATCCACGGAGGACCCAAGGCAACCCACTTCCTGGGAAGGACCTGGTCTTCCTTCTGGGCTGATAACAGAGCAGCAGCTGTGCACCCTGTGTTATCTTCACTGGTCCTGCAGTAGCATGGCATAAGCCTGAACTAAATCCTCTGGCAGGGCATGGATAAAGTGCTACATACAGGGAGCTGCCTGATCATCACCATGCACCTTTCATTCAGTAATAAGCACTTTTTAAACTCACATTTGACAACCAGCCTGAACTAATAATGGAAACAGTCTTAGTTTATTTGTTGTGCACCACAGGAGGAGAAAAGTGCCTCTTGTTATGGAAACATCCACTTTTAAAAACACACACACACACACACACACACACACCTTTCTTGGTCTAATTGTGTCAAAAAGTGGTCCGACTGATAATTACAACTCATCTTTCATTTATTATATGAGTTCAACCAATCTTAGCTGGTCAAGTTGAATGGACCAAAACGGGGTATTCTTAACAGACTCGCACCACTTTATTCTCCATGAAAATCATAGTTGAAAAAAAAAAAAAAGATTGTAAAAGAGAGGGTATTTTTCCCGCCCTTTGGAAAAACCGCGACCGAATGTTAATTCTGAGGCTGCACCCAAAACCTCGGAGAAAGGCACCGGCAGACGCCGCATGTACCGCACTCCACCCACGGGAAAGCGGGTCTTCCATTCATCCCAGCACTTAATTGGGAACCGGGAATATGCGAGGCCGGCAGGAGTCCCACCCGTGGCTGGACAATCCACGCGTCCACTCGCTTCGCTAAACTCCAGCCATCCTTTCATGGTGGCTAAACTCCCCCACACACAGACACACACCAAGTTTTGGTGTGTGTGTGTGTGTGTGTGTGTTTGTTTCGCAGTCCCCGCTTACCTTCCAGCCAGCCGAGCTGTTGCTGTCGCCCTTATCCTTGAAGTAGGGCACGCAGCGCACCATCCACTCGTAGATTTGGGACAGGGTGAGGCGCTTCTCCGGCGAGCTCTGAATGGCGCGAGTGATCAGGTCCGCGTACGATAAGTTCCCCCACGCGTTTCTTCGGGACGAACATTTTCGCGGTGCGGCCGCTGTTCCCGCCGCCACTGGCTGAGGCTGCTGCCCGCCGCTCAACGCAGAGGCGCCAGATCCTTCCCCGGGCAGTCCGGAGAAGGGAACCAGCAGACGGGCCGTGTCCTCCGAAGCAAGAGCCTCGCCGGCGCCGCCGGAGACGGTGGCGGCGGAGGTGCCCCCTTGCTCCTCGTCGTCAGCGTCGTCGTCCTCCTCGGGAATCATGGAAGCGGCGTCGGCAGCCGAGTCTCCCGAAGGCTTGGCCGGGCTCGTTTGGAGCTCGGGCCTTTGCAGGGGCCACGTACAGGAGCGAGGACGGCTCTGGGGCTCGAACTCCGGGTCCAGCTCCACGTCCAGAGGGGACAAGGGCGCGGGGGGAGACACTTCAGCCATCTTGGCCTCCCCCCGCTTTGGAGGCGATCCCTTCTGTCCTTCCCGCTGTCAGACGGGAACCCGATCCGCGCTCCGGTCCCTTCTCCTCGCCCAGCTCCCCGCTAGAGATTAGCGAGCTCGAGCAAGCACGCCGCTCTCCATTCAAGGTCCGGCCGCCACCTCTTTCTCTCTCTTTCTCTCTCGTCTCCCCCGCCGGAGAAAGGAAAACTTCTAAGGCGATCCGCAAGCGATCCGGGGGTCTCCGGGGTCCAGGTCAGCTCTCTCGCCGCTGCCCTTTGACGCTGCCCGATTTGGGAAGCATTTCCAAAGACGGCGGAGCTCGGAATCAAATCGCGGCTCTGCGCCCGCGCGTTTGTTTATCTTTCGCTACGCGCCGGAGTCCTCCAATCGCATCGCTCTGTAGCTATTAAAGAGACCCCCCCATTCACGCGACCCCCCGCATCATCATCATCATTATTATTTTTTTTAAAAAAGAGAGATGTTCGCGAGTCTCTCTGTTGCTGGTTTGATGGACGCCTTCGGTCTTACAAGTCCTCCTTCTCACCGACTCCCCAACGCCTTCACGGAGAGCACCGAAGCCTTAACACCCATCCGATCGCGGCTGCCCCATTTGTGATCGTTCTTTTTTTTTCCCTCCTCCGTAAAAAAAAAAGAGAAGAAATCCGAAAGCGGTGAAGGGCGGTAGGGAAGAGAAGTCAATCTTTTTCTTCTTCTTTTTTTCTTTTCTTTTCTTTTCTTTTTTTTTTTTTTTGGAACAAGGAGAGGAAAACTTCAAACGCCCGTCCTTCTCCCTTCTTTTAAATCCTCTCCCTCGGCGTAAAAAAAAAGTGACGCGGAGAATTCAAACAAGTTCAATCGCCGATCTTCCAACAGGTCCGGAAACCCAAGTCCTCCGCGGGCTCCCGAGGTTTCGTTCCAGCATCGGCGGCACCACCACATTCATAACCTCCTCGCTCCTGCCGCCGCCGCCGCTGCCATCTTGACAGTTCCCCCCTCCCCCTCTACTCAAGTCATTTAAAAAAAAAAAAAATAAGTGTCGGCCCAAAAAAAAAAAAAAAAGGGAAAAGGCAGGGCGAGAGGTCAGGCAGGCAGGCGAACGAACGAAAGGAGCAAGCGAGAAGCAGCGGTCTCGGAGCTTAAAGCCGGCTCCGTTGGGCAGGCGGAAAATCCAGCTCCGAACGCACGGGAGGAAAACCAGGCGCCGATTCTACCGCTGCTGCTGCTGCTGCAGGATTCTTGATTTTGGAGCCGTTCCCGAGTCGTTCCACTTTAAGTAGCAGAAGAAGCATTAAAATGAGAAAAAAAGCCCCACCGTTGGCAGCACGCTCCCTCCCCGGAGAGAAAGCCAGCGGCGGACCAGCGGCGGCAAAGAAACCCTGGAGCTGCCGCCGTTCCCTCGAGCAACCTGTCGCCCTCCCCTCCGCCGACTTCCACATTCCTTCTCCTAACAACCAGGAGCGGCAACACAAAGTTATAGACACACGCAGGGAGACGCAACCTAACCCCGTCGCAGCTGATCCCCGCCCACAAAGGAGGCGGGCGAAGAGGCGAGAGCTCCGGCTCTCAGTACTACAGAAGACACACCCGCCCGGCGAGCTGAGGGGGTCCGTCAGCCAACTTGGCGCCCTTCTCGGCGCATCTTTCTTTAATTCCTCCGCCGCCAGCAAATCACTGTTAATGTTGAACTAGCCGTGTCCGATGTTGCAATCAGAAACCTGGGCATTAAGAGGAACGCGTTTTTTTTAAAAAAAAAAACGTATTCTAAAAATCAATTTTCTCGATTGCAGTTTTAAAAAAAACACACGATGATGTACCTCTACGGTTCTTCGGCATTATATTTCGGTTTTGTTTTGTTTTTTTACTCTATTATCCCCCTGACTTTAACAGAGACTTTTAGACTACACAGAACCTGCAGGTCCATGTTGGTCACTCTGTCCTATATTACGATAGAGAGCAACATCCTGCAGTTCTCTCGTTTTATAGGAAGCATGGATGGGTTGGAAAAACGTGCCTTTTCTTTTGGAAATTGATAACTGTTAGATCTTTCCACTGCTGTGTATTCTATTGAGCCATTTCTAAGATGTGTTAAGGCATATACAGTATGTAGTCAATCACAAGGACTAGGCCACTTTTAACTTGGAAACTGTAACATTTGTCTTTGTTAATTGGTAGATTAAGTCTAGACATGTTTTTCCTATTTCCACTTTTTAATCGGATGTCTTGATTTAATTGCTCCTATAACAAACCCTGGTCTATAACTTCAAAATGACTAGAGAATGGTGTGACTGTTCAAATGTGGAGCCAGGCAAGTTTTTTTGCTAAGACTATGCTGGCAGTAAAATCTTAACATACAGAAGGCCCTAGGTAGGGAAGGTTTTCTTATAGTAAAATGATATTCCACCTATTCCTCTGCATATTTTTCTTAAAACAATTACACTTAGAATGCCTGGGGTGGAGGAGGTTAATTGCCAGGTACCAAATCACTATAAAATCGAACTGAGAACAAAAACTTTAGAACATCATTAGGTCATGAAATGTGTGTAAATACAACTGGCAAGGCAATTGGGTTTTGCATAATCATGACTTATCATGACTTTTAGTGGGAAAATATTGCACATTATCACATCTCCTACAGAAACATATGAACACACTTTGTTTTGGCAATCACATCAGCTCAATCTTTCAGCCACTAAAAGCTGGACCTTAGATTTCATTAGACTATTTCATCAATTAAGAGTACTACATCACAATATTATTCATGTGTGTCCTGGTGAAGTTTCTAGATGAAAGTTTTTCACCATATATTTTAGATCACCAAAAATCTAAGATATTTTCAAGAACATGAACTCATATGTAATTATTAGTGATTAATAATTGAGACAAACTCTAGACTTCGGACATACTGGAGATGTTTACTTCTTACCTCTGAATACATGTATCCAAATGGAATGCATGTCTCCGGTACAGTTTATATATCATTTGATGATCCTATTGGAGATTAGCCTAGGTAAAACATAGTTAACTTGTCTGCTTCCTGACATTTTTAAAATAAATTTAAAAATTTATTTATTTAATTAAAATTTTATTTTTATTTTTATTTGACTTTCTTAAAACAATAAAATGTTTTTCTTGTTTTTATTATTTTTAAAGATTAAACTCCCTTCCCAGGGGGTAGAAAATTTTCTTTTAGAAAATTATCTTTTAAAAGTAGCTTTTCCCAATATAATACCTCCAGATGTGCTGGATTTCAGATGTTAGATAGGGATTATAGAAGATTTAAATGCATCTGGGGCGCACTTGGCTGTGAAAGGATAGTTTAAGCAATACTTCATGAACACAACAGTGAAACCCTGAAAAAGGCACTTTCCCTACTTTTTCTTACACCTATCCGCAGGGAAAATATGTCTTGGCAACTTTTTTTTTACTGTGTCCCCATGATAGAACCTCTGTCTCTTCCCTATTTCATCCATGAAATATTCTTATTGGTATTGAGGCTAAAGCCATTTTTTCCCCTTTGCCCATCACTGAAGGCAGTTTCAACGCACACAGTATAAAATCTTAGCTTTGTCCCAGCTTTGTCCCACCTGTTACTCTGGAGGAAATTCAGTGGCGTAAAAGAGAGACCATAGGCAAGACAGGGACTAATAAAGCGGACAGTAAATTTCATGTTAGGAAATTGTTCTGAGCACTTGCGGATTGGTGGAGATCATTTTACAGAAGGGAAAAGTCCAAACATCATTCAGAGTTAGCTTTGTCTGTTAAAATATGCCATGTATCCAGATGGCAGCAAGTACTACCTTTCATGGGATTGCATATACCTGCCAACTTTAATTGACATTTTGTATAGCTATTATTCATGTATTTAAGTTTTTAAAACTTGGTAAGGTTTTCACACGCTCCAGTTAGACATGTACTTCTCAGGGTATTATCTATTAAAAAAATCCCATAGATATGCATTTCTTTCATCAAAATCCCCACCGACTGCTGATACTTTACTTGTAAATTAATGTGTGTTCAGAACTATCTGCTTTATTGACATAAAACAGGGGAGTTTAAGAGGGTGGTTAAATTCCATGTGCATAGGAAACAAATAATGTAGCTATCTTGAGTAAGCGCTGATTGCATCACAGTCCAAATAATTAATGCAAATAATAAACAGAAGTGATGTTATAAATACACCAGTTTGGTATAGTGATTAAGATGTTGTATTGGGAGAGGGGAGGCCCGGTTCAGGTCCTTGGCCACAGAAGTTCATTTTGGTCCAGCAACATTGCCCTACCCCAACCCATCCCACAGAGCTGTTATACAGAGGAAGGAAGAAACAGTATTTTCACTGCTTTCAGGTCTTAGATGGAATATATTGTAAACCTAAACAGTGACCTGCATGAGCTTTCCACTATTCTACACTATTCTATGTTCTACAATCTCTTCATCTGTTGAAGGTAGAATATTATACTTTTCTCCTTGCCCTTTATCTTTCAAAATTAGACTTATTCTGAGGAATACTACAAACCCTTTCAAAATTGTGAAAAAATATCCTTTTACAATAATCTTATACTGGTTTTGTTCATTGTCTCCCACAGCATCTTCCAAATAATTGTGGGGGGGGAGATGGGGGGAATTGAACAATTCCAAAGGAAGTGGCACCTGGGTGATGAGATCAAGAAGTTTCCAGCTATACAACACAGAACTATCTTATTCAAGGTCTTGGACAAGGTGTTTGTTCCACTGAGATAAAGTATGTCATTACTGTGATGGGTGCATTAAACCAACTGGTTAAATTTGGAGCCAGGAACTACCTCTAGTGCTTTTTCGAAGAAAGGTTATACATTAGCCAAAACAAAGAACCAAAATAGAATATGTGTCCTTGCACACACACACACACATTATTTTATTTTTATTTTATTTTATTTTATTAATTCAATTTGTATGCCGCCTCTCTCCGAAGACTCAAGACGGCTTACATATCCCTAATAGGACAAAGAGGGAAATATAAAGAACTTCTGAATTTAAAAAAAAAATGACTTCAGTAAGGCTGTTCCACTAGAAAGGATTGAAGACTAGATTAGTGATCTTCAAACAGATCAATAACAGGATATATGACATATATATATACAAATAATGAAGGGTCAACAAGATACCGGTAGGTGAGGAAACCTGCTCACAGTTCTGTGCTGCAAAACAGTGGCATGAACAATGAACCTGAATGAGTGCCAAATATGAAAAATAAAAAAATATACGCCTTAAATCGCAGCACTCAATGCTCTCCTGATAAAACTGGTGCAGAGGTATTTGTCTGCAATCAAACACAATTCAATTACTAGATGAATTTTAATCCAATGCCTAAGAAATGTGTGTTCAGTAAGGCAGTTATTGTATTTCTGCACAAGAGGGGAGGACGGAATCTACAACTCTTTGAGAGAGGGGATGGAAATTGAAATATGGGATGGTTTTGGTCCTATCTTCAATGTAACTATGAGGCCCTTATCAGTCTGTTTTCCTGCTTAATTAGACACTGGCCATATAGACGTCTTCTCTATCTAACAATGTATAAGTAGCATTTTCCCCTTTAAACCAACATTACAAGCTTCAGTATGTGTAAAATCTTTATAATTTCATCTGGAACCCATTTTCTTAGAAATAACATCAGTTTTATTGTTATGGGCATGTTTGATAAGTGTCTTTTGGGAATATGCTGGTTCTTCTCCTCTGGCCACTAGCCAATTTCCACCACAGTCCTTTCTCTTCTATTCTGTTACCACTTTCTGTCTGGGAATTTTTGAAATGCCATTTTTCAAATCAATTTTGCTCCAGCAGGAGCACAAGATCCATCCTTTTGGGGGTGGGGCACAGTCTAACAGCATTCTGAAATGGGCATTTGTGAGCATTTTACTTTTTAATGAACTAGCCACCCCACTTTACCTGGTTGTAATGTCTATAAACTATTAAATTCTACTGAACATTTTTTTCTTATCTGCTAATTTCCCTATTTTTGTTACATTCACATACTATCCCTCCTCCATCAAGTGTTCAATTACATTTTTCAACTTTGCACGGTTCAGCTAGTTAAATAATGATGGCAGAGTCTGCTTCCTTCTTGTCTGAATTCTTTTCTGCTATCTTTTGGTGTCTTTCTTTATTTCACAATATTTTAACTGTATCTCCCAAGTGGGCTAGAGAATAAAGGCAGATAAAGGTAGGCTAGGGATTGGCAACAGGAAGAACAGATTTTACAATGGCATTGTTTTGTGGCAATTCAAGAATGGGTGAAGAGCACTGTAATGCAATGATGGGACAGGCTCAGAAGAGATGGATTGTACATAGAGAAGCCTGAATCATCCAAGTCATAATGTGGTTTGCTTGAATAACCAAATGTACAGTAGTTTATTCAGTAAATCAGGGCTAAACATACTATGGCTAAATATAACATGTGGCAATCATTAAGTGCCACAGAAATAAAAGCAGGAATGACATGAGGAAGGGAAACAGGAAGGCAAACCCTAGT